GTTTCTCGCAATTTTTATGTTTCAATTTAGTAAGTATTTAAGTTAGTAGTCATTTTAGTAAGTTATTCATTTTTCATCACGCTTGATGACTGATTAATTTTTTAAACGTATGGCAATAAACTTGTAATTTTGAATTACACAGTTTTTTAATTGACGTCTAAAACTAAATCATGCATAAATATACAGGAAAATAATAGAAAATATAATGTTTAAATAATGAGAAAAATTTTTTTGCATGTAAGTAAATATCATTAGTTTTTAAATAATATTGAACTAAAAGTTGTGTATGGCATCGTGCCTCAAGGCAAATAGCTGGAACTTCGTATTTTATAGATAAAAAAAATGATTTTATAAAGTTAACGATGACCTTTATATATGTTTACATAAAAAGTAAATGAATAAAACTTTACCTAGATTTAAAAATATAAATTCGAACTATTTTCGATATTCCAAAAAATATATTTTTTGGCAATTAAAAAAAATCTTTCCCCGAAAGCGGTCGTTCTATACAAGCTGAAAGTTTTTTTGAATCATTCAAATCGAATGCTCAGTTCTCTCAAAATCTGGCATTTTTTTGTATATTTAGCTCCGTATTTCCGAAACGGCTAGACCTGCCTTTGCCTAAAACTAATCGGCACATCTCCTTATTATCAATAAGAAGCGAAGCCCGAAAACGTGGACGAAAAATTGTATCCACACATCATTACTCACACACATCAATTTTTTCTAAGGTATGCAAAAATGTTCAGAAACCTTCAAAACGTGAAGATATGCAGAAATTTTCTATATTGATTTTTGGACAATTACAATAAATTACCCTACGAGAAATTAATGATTTATTTTTTTATGTCGAAAATCATTTACATTTGTCGTCTTGTTTCAGCAGTTTCAATTCCTCCGCACCGATTTGCATTCGTACTTGTACAGTTTATCAATGACATGCAAAACTCTCTCTTTATCTGATTTCTTCTTTATTTTATTCAGTCATTAGAATTGGTGAGTTACACAATCGTCCGACTGACTTACAGCGATGTAAGACTATTTCCGCATATGACATCATTGCATGAATAACGATGAATAACCATGTGTTGTACCATACTAATTTATCTATGTGTTGTACTTTACCATGACAACGTATAGGCTTGTTAAATCTTTACGTCGATAGATTTAAATATAAAGTTTTACTACCAAATACGTCATTGAAGGCAATGAGAGCATATGTATGCTACGCAGAAATCAGTAGAATGACGAGTTTTTTGCCGAAAACATTGTCAAATGTCATTTTAAAGTCCATGGCGTAAGGAGGCGTCCACGTGAGGATTTTAGGGGAAGAGGGGGTTTGACAAAAAATCACGAAAAATCACGTGGGGGGTAGGGGTCTAGTGAGATATCACGTGTATTTATTTTTTACCTAGATTTTCAAAGAAACATAAATTTTACGATTTTTTTGTAAATTCGAAAAATTTGTTCGGAAAATTTTACTTAATATACTTTTGCTTATTATACTTAATTCGAAATACACGAGACGTTTGGTGGGGGAGGGGGGTCCAAAAATCTCTAAAAATTCGATCACGTGATTAATGGACGCCTGCTAAGTGGTTGGTGCTATGGGATTTGGATCAGAGATCCCAAGTTCTATAACCACCTAGAGCAGCCTGATGTTATTGCTGCATCAATAAAAATTCGTTCCTATTAGGGGGGAGGGAGTAGCGTGACAAAAAATCACAAAATATCACTTTTTGGAGGGGAAGGTCTAGTAAGATATCACGTGTATTTATTTTTTATCTCAATTTAAAAAATTTTACGGAAGAATATTATTGGTCTTTATTGGTCTGAAAATATCAGCATTTTAATACTTCGCATTTTAGCTCTTCGATTTCATAATGATGTGATGTGAAAATAATTGAATTCAAATAAAGTCTATGTGTCTATCTATCTACCTACCTACCTATGTATCTATCTTTCTACCATCTATCTACCAATACATGCCAGTAGTATTAAGAGTGGAATAAATATGATCTTTGAAAATATGAGTGCACTGTACTCTTTTTGAACTATTTTATTAAGATATCGTAAGTACAAATCCTCCAACATTGCCTTATGCAGATGGTATAATCTACCATTTACTCATTATACCATATGCATAAAATTATGTATATATATTTAAATCATGATGAGACAAATCATTAGCGTTTGTAACTTGAACATTATTTACATGGTAATAAAATAGCGCAAAATTAGTGTGTTCATATTTTCAAAGGTTATATATTTGAAATATCAACAGCCAATAAATCAAAAATAAATTAACAATAAATAATATACACGTTCCGTCATTAGTACATTACCACATCATTAAAATTTGCGCTTATCAAAGAACCGTTGATTGGTTCTGCAATGTTAAATAAAGTAACTGTAATTTTTATCTAAAGTGCAACAATTTGCTAATACAGTGAAACGAGAAACTTGAGATAAGCAAACCCAAAACATTTTTCGCGAACGATAAATAAAATATTATTGGCCAGCACGTTGTGGAATTCAAGTGCCTGTAATTGTAGACGTTTAAATTTGTTTGTTTGATTTTAAAAAATTAACAGAGCACGACAATGCCTCTTAACGGAATGATCGTAAAAATGCCAAGCGCGACTAATGGCACTGGTATAAAATATTCAGAATTATTCGAACTGCATGTACACTTTTTAATGGAACTGATTTTATTATTTTAAAGCTTTAAAAGATTTATATTACAAGAATGACACTAACTTTTGCGCCATATATTTGATTTGTATAAAATTGCATGACTACGAAGTATGATCAATATCTATCTGAATATAAGTATGTACTGTGTCTGAAGTCTATTTCATTAGGATACATTGAAGATATGGAAATTCGACTATGGGGCCAATTCTCCGATAAAATATAAATGTTATTGTAACTACATGTCATGGGTCTATCTTCGTATGAGTAGCAGTCAAAAAACTATGTATTTCCTGTTCAATCCCAGGAGTTTCACACATTAAACCTAACTTTTCTCACGTATATGTTATATATAGTCCAGTCATTTAAGCTTAAATTAGGTAAGAACCTCGAAATTCGAGATACCCACCTGTAAGTCTGTAAATAATCACAGACTATATTATTACTCAACCTACATATGGTAGGGTGTACGCAACAGATGTAGGTTTTGAGACAACTTTTAGGAGTCAATATACAAGTATCTACAGACTTACAGCTGGGTATCTCGAATTCCAAGATGAACTTACTATAATGACTGGACTATCAATGAGACATGCATTTATGATAAAATTGTTATTTAAAGTTTGTGCGTTTTGTTTCATGTGTAAAACGCCTGGTCGCGGACACATCGGATACATAGCTTTTTGACAGTTCTTACTACCAATTCATACGAAGATAGACCCATAACATAGCGTCACCATAACATTTCTATTTTGGCGAGAAATTGGTCCCTAAGACACTTACTATTGCGCTACATATTTATTTATATAAAATTGCATGACTACGAAACATAATAATATCTGCCTAAATATAAGTAGGGGAGACTGGGTACGGTAGTGACAGTTGTCATAACTGCTAATCTATACTGATATTGAGATAGGGTCCAAAGAGAGAAAGATGAAGTATGTTTGTCCGAACAAGTTTCCTTTATTGCATTAACATGATCTGTAGACCGAAATCCAGAAGAAAGGTTAAGTTTTAGTGCAAAGTTTTAAATAGCCAAAAGAAAGGTTAAGTTTTTGTGCGATTTATTTTAAAAACAACTGTTACTTGTATACAGACAGATCACTTTGTTTATTATTTTGCTGTAACTTAAACTTTAGTAGTTAATTACCAGCAATTAGTTCTGATTTATGCAACATGTATTGCTTGTTCTCTTTGGATGAAAATTAAACAGATAAAGAAAAATCTATCTTCTAAAGACAAAATACAAAAAAGGGAAAGAAAAATGCCTCAATCAATGCAAGGAAACAAAAAATGTCACAAAGATTTTTTGTTTAAAAATTATGTTTTGTTATATATTGTTATATTATATTCGTAAGCTTTGTTCAAATAATTATGCTATGTTATGTTTACCATTTCTGACAATAAAAGTCGTTATAAACCATTTTGGTGTTTATAACTATTGTTTTTAACCTATTTTTATGCATGTCACAACCGTCTCTCGATGTGTGGACGGTTGTTACACTCGCACCTTTCTTATATAATTTGACTTTTTACCTAATCCATCTATTTAATTATTTAAGGATAGCATTTCAATATTTCCACTTAGATAAATGTTCCAATTACCATTCAATTTACTTTACTACTAGCTAACTAGTAAATTAACAAAATCATTAAATAATCAAAAACAAAGTGGCACAACCGCACCCGGTCTCCCCTACTGTGACTGGAGTCGATAAATTGAAGTTACTAGAAATTAGACCACATATTACATTGTTTATAACTACGTTATAAAACTAACAATGTTTTCAAAACAAGAGCTCCATTGCAATAAACCAGTTTGTTACTAATCAAAGTTTAGTTAGTTTGAGGTTTCGAACTAACTATCACGATTAAAACTCTATTCAGTTGCAAAAAATTACAAATTATAAAATAAGAAAGCATGTAATTCTAAGAAATTCTAAGCTTATTCTTTAATGAGACTCCAGGCAATTATAAATAATAATTTATAATTGCCTAGAGTTGCTATGGCTATTGAAGTATACTATTTTTCTAGAAATTGCGATATTTTACTTTCTCTATATATCGAATATTTTTTACCGTGAAATTAAATATTCTTAAAACATGAAAAAATTAGCATATAAAGTATGTAATGCATTTTTGATTTTCATATTATTTGAAATTATATATTGACACTTATTTTAAGTTCTCACGAATATTTTTCGAAAATTCTTTGCAAAAAGTGATGAAAATATTAATTAAAGTATCACATTTGATTATAATTCGACCTATATAAAATATTAATTTATTGCTCTTTTTTTCAGAGATGTCGCGATGAAAGTTGGAGAAGTTATCACTGCTTTAGGAGAAGCATCTGCAAATGCACAAGGTTTGTCCCAACCAATAACCACAGGACATAAGGTTAGAAATCAAGATCACAATGTTTACGTCCTTACAGACCCAAATGGTAGAGGGTGAGTAAATAGATTTCTGAGACAGTTATGGGACGATTCTGCCGCACAAGAGACCAATGTTATGGCAAGGCCATGTTACGCTCCAAATTCCACACATTATGCTACTGAATCATACCGAATACTGTCAAAATGACATGTATATACCGTGTATTCAGGCGTTTTACACATAAACTGCAACGCCACTGGTATATTTTGAAGTTGGGTCAGAAAGACCCTGTTATCTAAAATCGTTTTTTGACATCTGTGCGGTTTCTAGGTTAGATTTTCTATCTGATAACCTGAGAAACACGTATGGAATTTAGTATGGAAAGTTCTTCATAACAGAGCCTTGCCATAACAATAACATTTAATAACATTTGTCTGTTATGCGGCAGAATCGGTCCATTAATTTAGTTTTTCTATCATAATGTTAATAGAAAAGATAAAATAGACGTCTGGAATTTTGTAGCTTCATTTTTTATACATTCCCTGGAACTCATCTTTATTTAATTCTTGACTCAAAACATTTTTTGAATCATTGATTAAATCATTTATTTTTGCAGGGGTCGAGGCACGGTGACTGGAATTTTGAAAACGGGTAAGAAGAATTTGTACGTTTTTGATGACAAAGGTGAACACAAGCAGGTAAATCCAACTTGCGTGTTAGATTTCTATGTTCATGAGTCCCAACAGAGAGCAGGAAAAGGAAAACAGCTTTTCGAACATATGTTAAAGGTATATAATACATGTGTTTATAAATGTATAATTTAAAAATAGTTGCAACTGGTTTACGACGATAAATTATGTTACTGCATAATCTAATCTGTTGTTAGATATATAAGAATGAATTTTCAGAATGGTCTATATGCAATCTAGGTTATATAGTCTTTGTTCTACAATGAATGGTAATATTTGTCTAATTTTCTTAAATTTTAGGAAGAGCGTATACAGCATCCGGCTCAGTTAGCAATTGACAGACCTTCCTCCAAACTGCTGAACTTTTTGGGCAAACATTATGGGTTAACGAATAGTTTACCACAGTCGAACAACTTCGTGGTTTACGATGAATTCTTCAAAGACCCGAAAACAGCGTCAAGACAAACATCCAGACATAACAGGTAACAGCAAAATCATTTTTATTGTTTTATTCTCAAATCTATCTTATTTACAAATATAATAATTCAAACAATGATGTGTAACCCCTCTAAATAATTGAAAATAATTATATGATTAACACCATAACTTTTTTGGGAACTTTTTGAACTTAGAAATGGTGGCAGGTTTCAAAATTAATTATTTTATAAGTTAATTTTACTTTTATTGGTAAAAAAAAAACTAACTGCTTGAATAATAGCGCACAACTTTCGAGGGCAAATGGACTTCAAGATCCAAGGAACACAAATCAACCAACCTACCAGGGAAGGTATGGAGCACCTAGACCGCCTTGCTCTATGGGACAGGTTGGTGAAAAGCTTATTGCAATAATATGATAATTATATGATTTGTAATCACACACTTAAAAACGTACATGGTTAAGGAACTAAGAAGCATATCTGATAGGCAAATTCGCCATTATAATCATTAAATAAGTTGTCTCTATCGGATTTCACTTGAAAAACAACAGTAATATATCTGAAAAATCAAGTTACTAAAACACACATTTCAGCATTCATAGACCGATTCTCCCACACAACAGACCAATGTTATGGCAAGGCTATGTTGTGAGAAAATTTCCATACTAAATATTGTCAAAAGCCATGCGGTTACTGTGCAGTCAGGTGTTGTTTTCAGAAAACCTAACCTAGAAACCGCACAAATATAAAAAAAACGCTCTTAGATAACAGGGTCTTTCTGACCCAGCTTCATAAATCATAACATACAAGTGACGTTGCAGTTTATGTGTAAAACGCCTGAATGCCCAGCAAATACATGCCATTTTGACAGTATTCAGTATGACTCAATTGCATAATGTATGAAAGTTGGAGCGTAACATGGCCTTGCCATAACATTATTCTGTTGGGCGGGAAAATCGGTCCATAAATTCCCATTAATCAAACAGTCGTTTTTACATTTGTTAGAATAGATGCACAAGATATTTTCAACTATTGATTTTTTATATAAGTTGTTAACTTCAATGAATTAAAAGTATTAATGATGAAAATATTTGTTTCAGATAATCCATAATATGCCTGTAAATAACGGCGTACTGACACAAGAACCTACTGGGTAAGACGACTTGTTTAGATATTGGTGGTCTTAGTTGACGTGAGGAACAACGTACATTTCAAAATTTCATTAACAGGCAGTAGTGTTTACTATATAATTTAATAACACAATTTAAATCATTGGAATGTTACGTTTTCTTGCGTCAATTCGACTTCACAGATATCGATAAATTAGTAATACTACGTACTCGCACGTGCAAATTACTCATGCTTATAATATTTTTTTCTATTTACAGTTATCGTATGTAAGAGCATATAAACGTGCACAAATAATCCTGTTTTTCACTAAACCAAAAAGCCAATCATGTTAGTCGGTTCATTGCACAAGACTTAGGTCTCTAAAATTGATGTAGTACTTAATTTTAGTTATAGTTTGAAATTCTTATTTATTGGTTAAAAAGCACCAAATAGTGTAGAAGCTTCATATCATATTCCTTCCATTAGAATTATAATATTAATTTAATAGGTAAATATGTATAAATTATTGATAGTTTTTTACGAAATAGTTAAGTTTTACATATATTTATAAAAGTGTTATAGATTTTGAAATTGTGAAAGATAATCATTAAATTGTAATCATTTCAAGTTTTTGGGAAATTTTCTGTATTAAAACAAATTACATGTTAATTAAGAAAGTAATAAAATTATTATTGTGAATTGAATTTTGGTAAACATGTATTTATTTTCCTTCCGATTTTCCTTTTTCCTTTTTCCTTGTCCTATATCGATTTTTATATATTCCTTTATAGGCCCCATTTAAAACGGAACTCTGCTAAGGCTGCCAGCAGGGCTCCATCTAGCGTATCTGTGAAAAGTCGTGGTGTTTGTTGTTCGAAATCTTCGGATCGACCATACTACGCAAATCAAACTCATACCAATATCAAAAATATCATTCATCAATCTCCTTCAGCGCCTTCGTCTGATAAAAATAAATTTTACCAGAACCAGTCACAAAAACAATATACGAACCAAAACGCACAATCTCAAAAGCATTTTACGCCCGTATCTCCATCGCAAAAGCAGTATCAATATGAAAATCCATCTCAGAAACAATATATGTACGACAATCAATCACAAAAGTTCAACAACGCCATGAATCAACCTCGATTCATAGGTGATCAATCTCAAAAGTACATTCCACAGCAACAATATGATGGTGACGTATCCCAAAAGCAACAATATATGTCCCAAAAAATTTTTCCTGGAGATAACAGCCAAAAGCAAATGTACGCAAATCAATCGCAAAAGATTTTCCCTGGCGATCAATCTCAGAAGCAAGCTTTTGTGAATCAATCACAGAAATATTTTCCGGACGACCAATCTCAAAAACAATTTTATGTGAATCCGACAATAAAGCCTTTCGCTGGCGATCAATCACAGAAGTATGTCCTCATGAATCAATCACATAAAGTTTTTCCGGGAGATCATTCTTACAAACAGTGTCCAGGTCAACCTCAACAAATGTTTCCGGGGGAATTGTCACAGAAACATCCATTTGCGAATCAGTCATATAAACAACAATACGTCAACAATAACTCGCAAAAGATTTTTCCGGGCGAACAGTCTTATAAGCAGCCAATCTCGAACCAATCCCAAAAGATTTTTCCAGGAGAACAATCACAAAAACCAATGATCAAGACTTATCCAGGAGATTCATATAAGCCACCATTCCCGGTAAATAACTCTCAAAAAGTTTTCCCTGGCGAACAATCGCAAAAACAGCGATTTATGGGACCATCGCAAAAAATGTATCCAAGCGATAAACCACGTTATGAACAAAAGCAGACAGAAAAAATCTATTATAATCAGCAAAGTTATCCGAACGAACAGGCTGGAAAACAAGGACAGACGTTTGGTGTTTCAGATAAGCAGTATACTATAAAATATTCGCAAGAGCCTCCAGATCCGCAGCAATTGGCACAACAAGCAGCTGTTTCTGGAACTGCTCCGATGTGTTTCACAGTTCAGTTGAAAGATACACCCCAGCGTGAATACGAAGCGAAGTACGAACCCGATTTAAATTCTTTCTTCAATGGGAATCCATCTGACAAAAGTCGCTCGCCTTATGGAAGAAACGGTAATTTTTTTTATTTATTTGAACAGCAATCAGAACGTGTTTTAAAAGCTGTTATGATGTACTACCAAGCTATTGGAAGGCAACTCAATTGCTGCTCTCTAACTCATTTGTGATTTTACCTGGTGCCTTGCTGCATTGTTGCCTTCTAATAAAAATAATTTGTAGCAATGTCAAAAAGGGCCACTATTTCCACTCGGAAACATATTCGACCTGTATTTTCAAGTAAAAATAGATACCGTTCTTATTCTCAGGTTTTTTGAAACTCAAATTTTAACCAGAGATTTCGTGTCTTATCTGGTCAATTTTGTTTTTTGTTTTAATTTTTTGAACTTGAAGCAGAAGCAACTTCGAGATCGATAGCATAAACAAAAACTCACTATTTCAAATTTCTACACGTTTATAAAATTACAATAAAACGTTAAATTTTTTATTTTAAACAGTGCAATCCCCACCACCGTATTACATACAAATCCAACCTCCAATGATTCAACAAGCTCCAATTGTAGCTGGCAGTACTGATGCTCAAAATCAACAGCAAATACAGATCGAAATACCACAACCAAGCGCCAAAATGCCGGCAGAGCAAATGATGAATCAACAGCAGCCGCAATATTACATGCAGGTCAGATAAACTTTCACATGAATAAGGGTCTTTAATAAACAATTCTTCAAATGTTTAAATTTAAAATTTTTCCTTTTAAAATTCAATCAATTTTACCCATATTTTTATCAAATCAACTTTGTGTGCCAAATCGACAACAAATTGCAATCTTTGCAAACATGCCATGCAGCATTTATAAAATTTAGTGAACATTTTAGTGACAACTGTAAGTGTTTTGGAATGATCATTTTCCTAGGACGCAAATCGAAAATTACATGGTTTTTTATTTTAAAGTAAACAATGCTAATATTACTAATGAAAAAAAGTAATATTAACAATAAGGTCGATCCGAAAGGCTAAGACGGGGGTATGCAAAAGCTAAATAACATTACTGAAAAAATTACAGTGTAAAGAAATATAGTTTTTATAAATGTTCCCAGGAATCGCCTAAACAAGCCTTAGCTGATAATACAATGTCTGAACAAATGAAGAATGCCCACTTGACCAACGTAAATGGACCAGTTCAACCAATATATAACAATAAACGGTATGGTGAAGGCGGAGGAAGGTACGGTTTTGTTTATTTAAAATTTGCAATATTTTGTTAAGCAAATGAACCCTTTTGCTACTGCTGTACGGAACAGTAATCTACCCAGTAGAGCTACTAAGTCGGCAAAACATTTTTTAAAAATTTCCAATCATTACCAATAAAACTGTATATAAAAATTTTGAATAACACTTCTAAAAAACTGAAGCATACCATAGTTCTCAATAATCAGAGTGATAAATCTTGAAGTCTAAACATTGAAGTCGTCTATAGGCGACACCCGTATACATAGCTTGTCGCCTATAAGCGACGCTCGTAGCATAATAGTTAAATTTTTTTCAGTATATTCACACAAACTAGTGGCGCATGGCATCGTGCCTCAATGTAAATTGCTGGTACTTCCCGCACCGTAATTTCAAATTTTAACCAGTGGTTCATGGCATCTTGCCTTAAAGCAAATTGCTGGAACTTCCCAAATTTTAGAATTTTTAAAAAAGATTCAAATTTCTTTTAGAACTCTGAAAATATCGATTTTTGAGATTTTTAAAATTTTTGAAAACAATTGACCTTTTTGAAAAAGTTGATTTTTTATAATTTGAAATATTTTGAAAATTTTGAACTGTTTTTCAAATCATTCGCAATACGTAAGCTACGGAGAAACGAACTATAGGAGCGCATGGGCACCTCGTCGCAGTTTAACCAATAAATATTGGTACAAAACCCATAGAAAAGTAAACAAAAGTAAACATAATTTGTTCTTATTATTAAAATATTTATGAAATATGTGATAATTTAATGTGTATATGTTTATTGATCATTTTTGTTCGCCAAATGGCATTTTTTGTCACTTTTTAATTGGATCTCCTAAACCGCATTTTGTCAATACAAATGAAATGCTTTTTAAATCATACAAGTCGGATGCTCCGTTCTCTCAAAAAATCTGTTACCATTTTTGGCACTTTTTGCCCCGTATCTTCTCATTAATACCAATCAAAGCACGTCTCCCTATTAATACCAATCGAATGTTTTTTAAATTATTCAAATCGTTTGACCCGTGTTCTCGAAATCGTCGACAAAAACTTGTATCCGCACATACACAGACACACACACATACATCAATTTTTTTAAGATATGCCAAAATATTCCAACGTAAAGATATATAAAAAATTTCATTTTCGATTTGTTTGCGATTACTATAACTTACCCTACGGGAAGTTAAAGTTTTAATTTTTTTTTAACTTTGAAACCCATTTATATGGGTTAATCCATACTGTTGTAAATGTCATTTATCAGGACATGTAAGTAAACTATATAAGTGAACTTTAAACGCTATAAATCTTGGTATAGGACCCAGAAAATTGAAACAAAATTTGTACTTGTTATTAAAGTCTTTATAATCTGACAATTTGATATACCAATGCCTAATAGGTCCTCCAAAACCGCTGGAACTGCTTACCCAAAAATTTAATCAATTATTTATTTTGTCAATACAAGTGAAATGTTTTCCGAATCATTTAAATCGGACGCTCCGTTCTCTCAAAAACTGAATTGCCATTTTTGGCACTTTTAAAAACTAATCAGCACGTCTCCGTAATAATAGGAATCGAATGTTTTTTGAATCATTCAAATCGGTTAATCCATGCTCTTGAAATCGTCGACAAAAAATTGTATCCGCACACACACGCATCTATTTTTTCTAAGGTATGCTAAAATGTTCAGAAGGACTAGAAACGTAAAGATATATACAAATTTACTTTTTCGATTTTTTGACGTTGATGACGGCGGCGGATTGACGATGATGACAAATAAGTTTTAGTATCACCAATATAATAAAATGTGCCAGATTTAGTAATTAAATTTTTGTTTATAATTTACAGATCCTGCGGCCTGGATTGGAATGAACAGGTCGATTTAGAACTCGAGCAAGAACTGAGAGAAAAGCATTCTCATCTCGAACGAATGTTACGTGATGCTGATGAAGATGCACCCCCTACAAGAAGCGATGAAATGCTTTTTAAACAATAATTATAACATTTATTTTAGTTGAGATTTCTTTACATTTTATATAAATCATACTATGTAGCACATTAGCGTAAAAATAGATTACTGTATTTTTATTTATTTGAAATTTATCGACTTTATGTTCTGAATATAAAATTTAACACAATTGCGCATTTGATAATTTAGTTCTGCTTGCTTTGCATTTTCAATATTTATCGCATGCAATTTCATGGCTGTGATTGATGCTTATTTAGTTTAGTGCCACAATAAAAAGAAAATTAAATATTATACATGTTACATAAACCCATAATTTTAATTAAAATTATTTTATTTCTTTCAGGATGAGTTTTCAAAAAATATTTTTTGAAGATTTTATGCTCTGAAATATGAAATTCAGATAAAAATTTTTAATTACAAAAATAAAATGTATTTCTTTAGTTATTACTATACTTGAATATTACACCAACATATCAAATTTTTGTAAAAGTTATATTTTAATAATAAATTTATATTTTAATAACTTGTTTGTTACATTATTATTTTTAAATATCTTAGCTCTTACATATAATGTTGATGTTTTACTGTTAACAATTTCTTGATGATTGTTACAATATATTATTGTTATTGTTATTGGTTGATTAGGTAAAATAAAAAGTATATGATTATATTAATGGTTTATATTTTTAATATAATGAAACAAAGAATATGTTCAATTTTATTGAAGTATATAATAATGTCTCTACAATCCAATGCTGAATTTTTTTTATATAGAAATGCATTTTTTTATTTTTATGAACAAATATAGATTCAACAATGAGAATTCGCCTAAAAGTTGATTATTTTTTATAATAGTTATTATTATACGTAACTCAATAAGAATAACTATTGAACAACGTAAGATATTATTCAAAATCAGAAATTCTCAATATTATCGCCTGGTTAATGAATATTTTCTCAATTTGAGTTCAATAATATTTTCTTTCACAATCCTTATTCCTTATATTATTATCTATGTAGTCTGATCATTGGTTTTCCCATACAACCATTTTTTTTCATGTTTATTTATGATAATTTTATTTTATTTATATAATTTCGCTACTTTCTAATTGCTATTTTATTAATTTAATTCTTTACTTACTAAATCAGTATAACTTTCAATCTTGTGCAAGAAAATTGGAATTGACTGCTGGTCTAATAGACTTCAATATAATGAACATTGTATTATTAATGTTTGAATGCTGTTTAAGCTCTCTTTTTTCAGAAGCTAAAATCGTGCAGCTACTATGAATATTATAAAATTACTTTCCTTCAAGTATTAATTATGAATAAATACCTAAAATAATATTTATTATTATTGATTACGGCTTGATATGAATAAACAAGTAAATAAATAAATATTATCGCCTAATGGATATCAACCCTAGGGTACAACATCCCTATTCTTAAATGCAGATTCTTAGGGTCCATCAAGAACAGTTTCTAAAAGTCCATCTCGTCACAATATGTTCAACTCAACCCTTTATATTTACTTATAATCAAATTATTATTAGAAAAATTCTAATATTAATAATATGTCAAATAGAAATAGGCCAACCGTTGAGTTGCCTCTTGAAAAGACTAAGTAATTAAAACAACTCCCAGGACTTTTAAATTCTGATTGGTGGTGCATGTAACAAAAAATATTCACAATGCATTTTATCTCATTATGATAATTTGGTAATCTTTGGCTGTTGCAAGTTGAGAATTTGCAGAGAACATATCAAATAACCAGTTTATCAGATAAGATAATGATACTATCGAATTTCAATAAGGAGTGGTGCTAAATTAATGATGAATTCAAGATAACATACATATTTAATTCGATAAGAAATTTTAGAATCTGTAGAGTCATCTAACGCTTGATGATGAAATTTTTACAGGCAAAGCAACTCACCATTTGATATATGGATATTTGAGTTAATTTATATTATAACTTTAAAACTATTATTTCAAAATTATAACAATAAAATATTTTAAATAAAATTATGCTTTTAATTTCTCTCTTGCATTTTTAACTAACAACTAAATGGTCAAATGTTATATAAGTCTACCCTTGGTATTATACTTCATCATTACATATTTTAGATCAGTACATTTATATATAATATGAAAATATAGAATAGTGTGTATTGTCTTTAGGCGACAGAAAAAAAATAGTTTTGACCATTCCTAAAAAAATCACATCAGTTTTTAGCGAAATAAAAAGGTTCTAATTACATCTATGGGTGGATTTCACAAAGCAACCCAGTAAACACGCGATGTGTCTGCTATGTGGTCACCACATCGGGCTTGAGTGGTGTGACATTCGTTTTCCTTTGTCAAGTTTGCCGACTTTGGGTTACTACCGCCGCTCAGTTTTGTTACAATCGGCACAAAGCTGATGTGGCGCTGTGATGTACATGACGGGAGACGAACGATATGACCTTTTACGCTACTCAGACATGACGTCACACGAATTAAAGGGACGCAGTCATGACGTCATATGAAATGGCGACTAGGTTATGACGTAATAGCACCTGAAAGTGATGACGTAACGCAATATTCTATTCTATACAAATTAGTGATTTTAAAATTATAAACAATTTATTTAAAATGCATTTATTTACATATAATAAAATAATTATAACATATCACATTGAGTAAAATTATATTGAATCTTATATAAACATGTTTATGTGTTTTATATACACATCATAATTAATACTTTGAGACTTTTTACGTTATTACATGGTTTTCATTCTAATAAATTAAATTAATATAGTAAATACAAATTTATGAACATATCATATTTAATAAAATATAAAGGACCTAATGAATCTCTCAAACATATTTCATAATATACAAAATTTTTAAAACTATTAATAAAATACTTAAATAATGAAGCTCTTGCTATATTAATAGTAAGTACGATTTTAGAAATATAACATATTTAATAAAATATAAAGGACCTAATGAATCTCACAAACATATTTCATAATATACAAAATTTTTAAAACTATTAATAAAATACTTAAATAATGAAGCTCTTGCTTATCCTAAACGATGACAAATAAATCCGTTCCAATCCATTCTTCTACTATTGCATCCAGGAACCCTGGAACAAATGCAGAAAGTTTCCTGTAATATCATTAGGTTATGTATATATAATGGACACATACTTACATTTACCACATACTTGAAATTCAGAGTTCCTGTAAAAAAAAAATATATGTAATTTCTATAATGAAACTGTAATGACATGGAAACAAACTCACATTGTCCATTTATCCGGGTTGGTGGTCTAGAGACTAAGAATGTTTTAAGTCTAGTGTTTAGCTCGGACATGGCGCTGCCGAGCATATCGAAACCAGTCCGAGACTACCTTCTGGAAAGTGCTGTCGCAGATCCTGGTGTGTTGTTTGCGCACAACATCTATTTTAAATATCAAAAGTCAATTATGAATCACATACATATATGGTTTATATATTCATAATTACTCCTGAACAATTTTATGATGAGCGTATCATGAACGGCAAAGTTATTTTTCAATCCTAACCAGGAACATTGTATAGCTACTACGTTAGGCATTAGCCGCTTACATACTCTTATATTCATAAAAGAGGAGACTTACATATTCTGTGCAGAGCTCTGTATCCTCTTTCAGTCGCTGTTCCATCGCTTTGAACTCATCAAGAGTCTTTAAAGGCAGGATTAGGTCCACTTGATTATGCAACGACATGTTAATTGTCGTTGCCTGAGTGATCGGGTTCTGAACATCACTAATGTATCGTAGTATGACAGCCATACTACCATTCAGAGCATCTACACTATCTATAATAATAGCATTCAATATAGTTATTAAATTAATTATATAAAATAATTAATAACTAACCCTGCAATCTTGCTTGTTTAGCAGCATGATCTGCTATTATCTCTATAGCTATTATATATGTAGTGACTTACATATTCAGACAATCATCCTCGAGCTAATCCTCTCCACCGACTAATTTAAGAGATTTAAGAAGTGAGGTTATGTCGAACACATGGATATGTTAATGTCTTAATTTAGTAAAATAATTATTTTAACCTTGCTAAACGATCCTTATTATTGTCCTCAGATTTTGTAAGATATGCTATTTGGTAACCTTCGTCATCTAAAGAAATCGACATAAAATAACGTTTCTTTATCCTATATGGTATGTACGAAATGGAATTCAAAATCGTGAATTAATTACATATCTATATAAATTATATATGATATACTTACGGTGTTATTTTTCTACACTTTTCTACAATTATCGCTATAAACAAGTTGCGTAACTAAATGAATGTAATTATTATACTAAACAAAATATGACTTGAAACTTGACAAATTCGTGACATTTTGTGTGTTAGGTTAGGAGAGATTCAGTCAAACAGTCGAACCGTGTGCGTCGTTACACTGCGCACTGATAGAAAGCTTTCTTTGTGCTGGTCACACACACACCAGCACACAACGCAGCGCACTACGCGTGTGCTTCATGCTGTGTGACGTCATTGATTATGTTTTGCATGTATTGTAACGCACACCAGCGCACAACAAGTATCTTACATGAAATTCAACGATGCCATTACCCCCGACAGCGCGTGTTTATGTCGTGTGAGGCCACTCAATGCAAGGTTTGCGTGTATGGTCACACATACCAATATACGACGAGGTCAAAACTACTCGAAATCACACATCGACTCAGACTTGACCCAGACGCATATCGATATTGGGTCCTGCCACATCACGTGTTTACTGGGAAGCTATAACATTTAGACAATTTACATCGAAAAGTGATGGAAATAATATCACAATTTTAGTAAAAATATTTATTTTAATAACTTTATTTTTAATTATAAACACCCCGTAGGGTAAGTTATAGTAATCGCAAAAAACTCGAAAATGAAAATATTTATATTACTTTACGTTTCAAAGGTTTTTGAACATTTTGGCATACCTTAGAAAAAATTAATGTTTGTGTGTGTGTTTTCGGATACAAATGTTCGTCCACGATTTCAAGAACACGGATCAACCGATTTGAATAATATAAAAAGCATTCGTTTCGTATTGATAAGGAAACGTGCTGATTAGTTTTTGGTAAAAGCAGGTCCAGCCGTTTCGAAGATACGGGACAAAGAGTTACAAAAAAGATTTTTTAGTTTTTGAGAGAACAGAGCATACGATTTGAATGGTTCAAAAAACATTATTTGTATAGAAGAAAAGCAAAACAGGTAAAATTGTCGAGAAGGCAGGTGTAGCGGTTTTGGAGATCCAATGAAAAAACTAAAAAAAAATGTCATTTGACGGTCAAAAATGATCATTAGACATATGCACATCAAATTATCAGATATTTTATAGAGATTTTAATAACAAGTACAAATTTTGTTTACATTTCTATAGGTTCTGTACCATATTTATGCGACGCAGCTTAACATTCTTTCAATATTAAAAATAAGATTGGATCTATTACCCCCTTGGTTGTACCATTTTATCCCGTCCTGGTAGAAAGCACCAGGTGATAAATTTTTGAAAAACAGTGAAAAAACATAGTTTTACAATGATTAATTTTCGAGGAATTTTACTGTACATAATTAGATGTTAGTTTGCTTGATGTGTTTGATTGCTTTGGAAAAAAGTTCAGTATTTCTTAAATATTTCAAAATATAAAAGAAACTCAAGTTTTTCAGAAAGATCAATTTTTTACAAAAATTTCAAAATTCTCAAAAATATTTTTTTCAAAATTTAGAACACATAATTGAATGTTCTATAAAATTTTTAATTTTCAGTATGGGAAATTGCAGCAATTTGCCTTAAGGCACGATGCCATGCACCACTAGTTCTATTGATATTTTGGATAACACAAGCCAATCCGATTACTCGAGCATCGATCTATTGATTACATACGCGATATCACCGATCACAAGATCGACTAATAATTTAAAAATTCTTGACACATATCCAGATCATAAATTCAATGAATCGCAGAATATAGGCTTTTATTTCAGCTGATTAAAATCTGTCATAGAAGGCACGCGCTGGACTTCGTAGATTAAGTATTATGAGTACATGTGCAAGTAGTATAAATATATCATGATAACTTTATCTATTGATGAATTTCGCGTCATATTGAGAAATAATTTAGATAAATATAAAAATTACTTTTGAGTGATATAAAAGTTGGAAATTTCAATATTACACTTCTATAATTAGATTTTATCGTTAGATCTTTTTTTTTGATTATCTCATGCATTTTATTTGCAATGCAAGCTTAAATTGTTAAGAAGTGCATTCTATGCAATTTATTGTTGTAGAAAACAATTATTTAAATTTTTTTTTTCTGTTATGGTAGGGGCACAAAGGTCCAATTTGACTTTTGGCAATTACACTGTAAAAACCAAACCTTATACATCAAAACAAATAGCACATACAAAAAAACAACTATCTAACTATGTCCAGTAAAATTCCCAGTTAATTCATCAATGTAGAACTATGCTAGTTTGCTACTTACCTAAAATTTGTCACTTGGTTCTTTTTACCCCATATGCAAGGTAAAATAGTACAGACAGGAAGCAAACGGAATCCCTTTAATATACAAAATAATAACTACATTATTCAACCAATGCAATATATAAATTTCCTGGACACATTTTTTACAAAGATAACACTGTATATAACCTTGATCTGGTATATCGCCAGAAATAATCATCAGCAGATTTGGAATAAGCAATTTTTTAATTTATCTTTTAAAATTACTTTTTTAAATTAATTTACTTTTTATTTACTATTTTTTATTATTTACACCTTTGCCAGGTTAAAAGTTCAGATGGTCCGTTTTACCCCACACTTTCATCAATGTTACCTACATGTTGGTTTTAAATGTAAATAACTAATAATTTTCTATAAATAGATTTATTGTTGAGTGTTGATCATGAATTTATTAATAAAAAGAGTTGTTTCATATCTGTAAGTGTTTTGATGTAGAAAGCTATTTTCGACAGTTATGTCAAACATTGCAATTACAAGAATCAATATCTTAAGTATGCACTTATTATAAAAATAAGTGTATTTAAATCACAAAACAGTAGTTGAACTTCATTAGTAATTATAAGGTCATAGATAATTATTGATAGGATATTGTGTTACAAAATCATATGTTTCAACAAAGAACCATCTAATCCTCAATATTATTTATTAAAATTGACAAGATTTTGTTAAGTTAAGTTATTTATGGGACCGATTCTGCCGCATAACAGAAAAATGTTATGGCAAGGCCATGTTATGAACAACTTTTCATACTCAATATTGACAAAAGCCATGTGAGTGCCATGCAGTCAGGCGTTTTTCTCAGGTTGTCAGATAGAAAACCTAACCTTGAAACCGCACAAATATCAAAAAACTCGTCTTAACTCTAAAAAACTTGGGTAACTGTGTCATTATTTTGACTAAAGTTTAAATTAACAAAAATCATTTAAAACGCAACAACTGAAAAATAGTTACAGTTTGACCAAAGTTCTAATTAACTTAGAAGCTCATAATTTTCAAACTGCATGGGATTTTTTTTTTCATTATGGATACAAACAATCTTGTCATTCAGAACTCAAATTTCTCGACGAAGATAAAAATTTTTTAATATTAATTTGTATCTTTTTTGTAAATTGTGTTAGAAAAGAATATACAACTATTATGGTATTTGCTCCGATGTCTAAAATACACAAAAATATTTCTTGGCCCTTACAACAATACACGAACCAAATCTCTATTTCTACAACAAATTACACTTCATGTATTCACCATCGTAAACTTCTAGTCTACTATACGTAAAGAAGTTTTACTTCAAAAATTTATGTGATCTTCAAAGTAACTGCTTTTTAAAAAAATAGATAATTGCCAGAAAAAATAAATGAAACATCACACCACATTTAAAATAATCACCCAGTCATAATGTTTAGTAAAAACAAATGAATTAAACTAAATATACAGTATATTTTTCTAAATCATATTTATATTTTTTATATAAAATTTATATTTTTTATATAAAATTTAATTAAAATATTTGTATTTATGGAATTAATTATGAGTTAGTGCCCAATTGGTTAAGAAGACAAAGGTATGAATGTAATTATTTTCTAATAATTTCTTATTTTAATTGATCACTCAAATGAAACAAGCTAAGAAAAAATATTTAATTGACAGAAAAAATAAATGAAACATCACACCACATTTAAAATAATCATTCAGTCATAATGTTTATAAAAAAACAAATGAATTAAAGTAAATAAACAGTATATTTTTCTAAATCATATTTATATTTTTGATATAAAATTTATATTTTTGATATAAAATTTATATTTTTGATATAAAATTTAATTAAAATATTTGAGTTTAAGGCAATAATTATGAGTAAATGTCGAATTGGTTAACAAAACAAAGGTATGAATGTAATTATTTTGTAGCAATTTATTATTTTAATTGATCACTCAAATGTGTACCCAAAAAAATGAATAATACAGCAGGATTAATTTTTTGGTAAATGATATCAATCAAGGAAAAAATTCAGAATTTATGTAATCTTCAAAGTAACTACTAGCTTTTAAAAAAATAGTTAATTGACAGAAAAAATAATTGAAACACTACATCACATTTAAAATAATCACCATGGTATTTATATAAATATATAATTGATATAAAAAAATAATAGATATAAAATTTATATTTTTTATATAAAATTTAATAGAAATATTTAAATTTAAGGAATTAATTATGAGTTACAATCCAATTGGTTAAGAAGACGTGAAAGAAGGTATGAATGTAATTATTTTCTAGCAATTTATTATTTCAATTGATCACTCAAAAAAATGATTCGTATACCGGGATTGATTTATTGGCGAATGATATCGATCACAAATAAACATCATCTTGGGAAAACACGCATTTTTCTGTTAACCTAGACGGATTAAGATAACTAAAAATCAATACTCATTGATTATATATCTGTACAAGATAAGAGTAAGTCTCATCCAAGTATATAAAACCGCAGGTGTACCAGATTTTTGTCTGACTTCAAGTTCTAACTTCTTGGTTAACGTTATTCGCCATAATGAAGTTGTTGGTGTTATTCGCAACTCTAGCCGTAGGCCTATGTCTAGGTGAAAAAGTTATGTTCAATAACTATAAAGTTTATAGAGTAATTGCTGACAACTTCGAACAAGTTGAGGTTCTGAAGAATTTGGAAAAGGACTCTGATGCGGTAAGACATTTTATATATATTTTTTTATTTTAACAATCAGAATCTAATAGTTCTATAAGCTGTTGTGCTAATTTTGACCCAATATTAGTCTGTTTGATAGATGGCAACCCAATCCCAATAGGGTTGTCACATCTCTATACGATATATTAGTATTACAATTTCTGAAATAGGGCGAATATTTTCTTTATTAGTGCAGCAGTGCTTAGTGAGGTCTATTTTCACTTGGAAACATTGCTATCTATATTTCCAAGTGAAAATTGTTGTCACTGCTGTCTGAAAACGGGTAGAAAACCCGGGACCTCTGAATCAAGTTTCGTCGCTCTTAACCTCTTACCTACGAGCGAGCCCATATTATAAAAATTACTTCAAAATGTGAATGTGTTTTGATTAAATTTTTTTTTCTTATGATTTTAGTACAATTTCTGGACCCATGTTGGAGCCCCAGGCAAAAATGTAGACATCATGGTACCCCCACACAAACTTGAGGATTTCGAAAGCACGATGCAATACCATAGAATAAACCACAGTGTAATGAGCGATGACGTCCAGAAGTAATTATCAAATTTATTATTTATTTATATATATATATATATATATATAGATAGATAATTTATATATATATATATATATATATATATTATTTCATAGATATTTGAAAATTCTGCAAATTAGATCTGCAAATTCTGGGATAAAATAGATATATTACGATAATGCTATGTTAATGGGTCTATAATCGTATGAGTAGGTAGTCTCAAACTGTCAAAATGCTAGGTATTTGCTGCACCATGAGGCGTTTTGCACATATGTGTTACCAAAGGGCATCGGAAAGATGCACTTGTGATAAAATTGATATTTGATATTTGTGTAAAAGTAAATACAGTTTTCATACCTTTTTTCAGCACATAGCTCTTCGACAGTTTGCGACTGCCACCTCATACGATTTTAGACCCTTAACATTTATATTTTATCCCAAATTTGGTCCCTATATGTTCAATCTACATTTTCATTAGTTCTATACTTTACATTTTGAATGATTTGGAATATTTTTAACATTTTTATATCTTCTTCCTATAGAGATATCGACCTAGAAGTTTTTGGTACAAGTAGAGAAGCTTACAGTTGGACCAAGTATCAAGATCTTGAAACAGTAAGTTACATTATATAAGAACTCTAATAAATAATTAAAAATAGTAATTTGTGAATCAACACAATAAGTGCTCAAAATCCGCGGCTAATATAACTAAACTTTTAAACTAAAAATATAGCATTCACATTTTTGGTACTAAACTAGAATTAAAATTGTGAATATTTTCAATACTAGCTAAAAGTGCAAAGTGAATTCAGTAAGTGTCAGAAAATCGTTATTTTAAATTTAAAATTATATTTTGTTTGCGGGCTGATAAATTAAGAGTAATTACAACCGAATGCAATTATAAACAAATAGCATACGTGAAAATTTTTACATTTAGGAAATTAGATGCCTCTACATCAGGCGGCATACAAATTTTTGGCGCCTGATAAACACGCACAGCGAAGTAGAAATCGTAGTGATGTGTGCATTGTATCTATTGATAAACTAACTAGTTTTCAAATCATTTTTTGTACTACTAATAAAATACTTAAATTTTATTACCCATCGATTAAAATTATATCTTCTGGAAATTAAAGTGATTAAATATCATTCATGTAAGTTTACGTAAAACAAGTTCATTAAAATCCATTAATAAACATTTTTGTAATTCTAAATATTGTAATCCTGGTAATTAGTGTATAAATTTGATTTGAAATTGATTTTATTAATTAATTATTCAATATTACTTCTAGACCTATGCATGGATGGACAGCTTAGCCAAGGCACACCCAGGAAAAGTCACTGTTCTCACCATTGGCAAAACTTTTGAGGGAAGAGACATCAAGGGAGTCAAGGTAAATAATATAATTTATATTTGTCTAGAAGTTGAAAAAACATTTATTTTGATAATATATTTTTAAATTAATTATTAATCAATATTAAAAAAAAATATTTATTATAATTCTGTCATTGGTAATTTTAATTTGAAGTTTTTATTAGACACTCTCAAAGGTTGATGTTATTCCGAAATATCAATAACTGAAAACTACTGCTTTATGTAAAATTTGTAAAAATCGTAAACAATTATTCTAACATTTTTTCCTAAAATAATATTTATATGCCAAGAATTATATTATGCAAATATTATGGCGCGGTAGACAATATTATGAACTCGCTTACTTGATAATAAATAATTCACGGATTTGATATTTAATAGAAAATTTATGGATTAATATGCAAATATTTGACAACAGATAATAGTTATTTTGAAATTGAAATAATTGAGTCAAATAACATAGGTTTACAAAAAAAAGAGGAAAAGAATACAAACAGTATTCGATGTGTGATATTAGTTTTCCAATATAGTTTTTGCCACTGAACTACAAAAAATATTTTTTTTAAAAAAAAGACAAAATCTCCGATCCAGTAATTATGCATGATAATTAAAATCTTATAATTTATGTCGCTCCCTCTTAACCTTAAATGATAATTGAGTTTCACTTAAATAATCGATTGAGTTCAATTTGTATAATTCAGCCTTTGCAAAAATACATATACACCCCATTGACCCTGGGTAATGTGTAAACATATTTACAATTAATATCTAAAAATATGTTTGCCAACTGCTGTATTATACAAAAAAATTAGTAGATCATTTAAGTGAAACTCAATAGTCATTTAAGGTGAAAAGGGTAAGAAAACGATAAAAATTATAAGATTTTAATCGCCTTGCAAAAGAACTACTAAGTCGGTGATTTTGTCGTACTTTTAATTTATTTCCATTTTTGTAGTTTGACCCTCAATTTTGACTTTAGAAAAACTACATTAGAAAACATATGTCTCACATCCAATACAGACAACCTTTTTTGTAGATTTGTGTAATAGTTTCAAATTTTGCGTCCAAATATACAAAACAAGTTTTCAGATTTTAATTATGATTATAAATTATATTCATTTAAGGACGCTTGAGATGTTGCTAGAAAGTATCCTTAATATTTTAAAATTTTCATTTTAGATTTCATTCGGAACTGGCAAACCAGGCGTATTTATTGACGCTGGAATCCACGCCCGCGAATGGATCACAACTGCCACTGCCACTTACATCTTAAACGAATTGTTGAACTCCAAAGACGCCGCCGTAAGGAAAGTAGCAGAATCTCACGATTGGTTCATCTTCCCCAACGTCAACCCTGATGGATACAAGTACTCTCAGACTACAGTAAGTGAAGATAATTTGAGATATTATAAATTTTGTCCAATTTGAATTATTTGAATTTAATCAATTTGAAATATTCAACTTCCCAATCCTATTTGTTCAAAGTTTCTTTCGATTATTTTGGACATCAACACTAAGATAATACGAATAAATGATAAAGACGAATAAATGAATTACATATAATATATTTTGTCTTGTATATTATCCACCAATTATTTGGATTAATTTTTTCATATTTTTTTTTGACCTGTTATTTTGCATCTTAAATATAATCTTCCAACAAATAATATTTACTAAAATCTAGAATTTTTTGTTCTTTCAAAGACTGTGTTTTTGTGTGTTGAAAATGATGTTGATTAGCTGAAGAGTCCAGATAGAATTTGTGGCTTTATCAAACTTAATTATAAAACGACTTTAGTTATAATGTAAATTACACCCTTTATTCGAATGTAATTACAGAATTTGCATATTTGGGTATTAGAATCAAATTGTTAGAAATTGATGTGTACAGATTCGCGATTGTATATAGAAATGATCTTTTTTTTAATTTGTTCACAAGGTCATATGTTTTCTTTGGCGTAAATGAACTGTAATAGCAATCAGTAATCCATTTATCAATATCTTCTTCAAGAAATCAAAAGTAAACTTCAAGTGTAGAAAATCATTTGAGATTTTTTTTTAAAATTTTTATTGGCCTCCGCTTCACAGCATTTTTAGCCACCTACATTATTCATATTATTTTTCATCATATTCTATACAATTCTTACATTTTCTTACACATTCATCATATATATACTATACATCATATATATACTATCTCTTTTTATGTCCTAATCTTCCATTCAATTTTCTTTCTTCAATTCCATTCAATTTTCATTCTTCTTCTTGTTTCTCAATATGTTCTTTTCATCTTCTAAACTAAACTTCTTTTTTCCTTCTTACTTCTAATACAATTTTTTCTTGTATTTTACAAATTAACAATTCTTAATCTACTTTAATATTTTATATTTTTAATTCTGTTATTGCTGGAGATTCGAACCAAATTCCTCCAGCGTGTGAGTCGAAAACACTACTGAGTGAGCTATTCCCACCACAATATCTTCTTGGAACAGAAAATCTTCATTTTACTATCAACAAATTTTAGAAATTTTTTCTTTTTTCAAAGACTGTAATAGCAATCGGTTATCTAAGAAATAAGAATTTCTTCCTATCGACTCCCCCAAGATACATGGTTTTATTGAAATTATTTTTAATATCAAGAACGTTTATTAGTGTTTTTAATATTTATTATAATTATTTCAGAACCGTATTTGGAGAAAAACCCGTCAACCATTCGGAAAATGTGTGGGAACTGATGCCAACCGCAACTTTGCTTACAAATGGATGAGTAAGTATAATTTTCAATCGATTCAATATTTTTATAAATATAGAGTAGTGCCGGGTTTAAAGGTGGGTGGGTAAAAAGGTCCACCACCGATATCTCAAAAACAAGTGATGTTGAGAATTTTTTACCAATTATATTTGAAAGTAGAGGGAAAAAGATGTATAACCAGCCATCACCTTACTCTTTACGTTGTCGCTATCAGGAGATAAATGTCAATGTATCAATATCATAACAAAAGTGTTTTTTTCGTAGGCAGTTTTTTTGGTTTTGAACTCTCTTATTTATTTTATAATACCTAAATATAAGTTTTAGGTAAACGTTACTTCATTGATTTTTAGGATGCAAGGTTATTTTTAAATTAAATCCAACAGTTTTTTTCTCTATAAAAGTTTACATGTGGGTGGGGTAAAAAGAACCAACTAAAAATTTACCCTTGCAAATGTATGTGTAAACAATAAGAAAATAGTAAATCAAAAAGTAAAATAAGTTAAAAAAAGCAATTTAACAAGAGATAAATTAAATTAATCCAACTCTGCTAAAATGCATATTTTTGACAAAATACCAGATCAAGGTAATTTATACAGTGTTGTTATAATCTGCAAAAAATGTACCCATGGAATTTGTTTTTCGCATTGGTAGAATAATTTAGCTATTATATCGTATATTATCGAAAAATGTAGCTATTATATCGTATATTCCTTTGAAATTAAGAATAAGACATTGGAAATGTTTGCCTTCTGGTTATCCCTTTTTAATACGCATATGGGGTAAAAAGGTCCAGGTTATAAATTTTAGAAAATTAGTAAAAAATCTTATTTTTGGGGAAATTTACTGAACATAGCTCGATAGTTCGTTGTTTGATACGTGTTATTTGTTGTGACGTAGTTCATTTCGTTAGACAGTAGAAGTCAAATTGGACCTTCAAGCACCGCACTACCTTATATTGAAAATCATTATTTATCTCTCATCATACCAACTTTGAGAATATTAAAAATTTATTTATATTTTGATTATCAATATTTATTTTAAATGTTTTATTTTCTAGCTGGTGGTGCCTCTTCAGATCCTTGCAGTGATACCTTTGCTGGACCTTTACCCTTCTCTGAGCCTGAAACACGTGCTATTTCTAACTTCATCATTGCTAATGCTAAGACTTTGAATGCCTATTTGTCATTCCACTCCTACAGTCAAGTTATCTTATGGCCTTATGGACACACTTCCCAACATTTGGACAACCACGACGATCTGGTAAGTGAAACACATTAAAGGAAATAATAAACAATATTTGCTATTGCAAAAAACTGCATTTGCAGACACCAAAAAGTGTGTAAGTTATTGGTGAAAATAATTGATATATCAAAATTATGAAAAAAAATTGTTACTTTTGCTAACAGTAAATTATTTGTAGAATCTAATAATATTGCAAAGATATAGTTTCCACGCAATGAGCAAAATCATATTTTCGCTTATAACGAGACTATGTCAAAAGCAGATCGAGATAATTATCGTTGAAGTATCGATATCTTTTATTATGTATCAATACATTTTCTATTTGTTGTAATGGATTTATATAACTCTTCTTTGCATAATTGCAGGAAGTAATGGCCAAGAAATCGGTCGCAGCTCTAGCCAAGCGCTACGGAACTAAATATACTTACGGAAACATCGTTGAATCCATGTGTAAGTATTCCCATTATTATAAAAATTTATAAAAATAATGACATTTGTACTAATATTTAATTAACATCCTGTAGGGTAAGTTGTGATAATGGTAAAAAAATCGAAAATGATTTTTTTTTATAAATTTTTACGTTTCAAAGGTTTCTGAACATTTTGGCATACCTTAGAAAAAATTGATGTATGTGTGTGTGTTCGGATACAAATTTTCGTCGAAACACGATTCAACCGATTTTAATAATTCAAAAAACATTCGATTTCTATTGATAAGGAGACGTGCTGAATAGTTTTTGGCAAAGACAGGTCTAGCCATTTCAAAAATACGAGGTAAAACGTGCTTAAAACGGTAACTCAGTTTTTGAGAGAACGGAGCGTCCAATTTTAATAAATTAAAAATATATTACTAGTATTGACAAGATGAACAAAAGATTAAATTATTGGCAAGGCAGGTCTAGCGGTTTCGGAGATCTAGTAATAAAAACAGTAGAACAAATTGCCATTTGGCGGTCAAAAATTATTATCATTACACATATGCACATCAAATTATCAAATATTTTATGATGATTTTAATATTACTTATAAATTTTGTTCACATTTCTATGGGTTCCGTAACATCCTTTGTCCGTTAGACTGCGTCGCAGCGCTTACGCGCTTCGATTCTATGCAGCTAAAGCAAGTAAATTAGTTTAAAATTTTCAAAATATTTCAAAAAGGCTTTTTTCAAAAATTTTATTTGTTTAAAAATCTAAGTTTTTCAAAGTTAAAAAAAGATTAATCTTTTTTTAAAAAAAATATTTTTTGGTACGGAAAATTCCAGCAATTTGCCTTAAGGCACAATGCCATATACGACTTGTTTTTTTATCACACAATCATGAGATGTATGATAAATCGTCCGGATATTAACTGAATACGAAATAATAATCTTTGCAATGAATCTTTTATGTATCGATATCTATCAATTAATCAATTTTCAGATGATAGGGACAATTAAATTTGTTTCAATTTTGGTAAACACATCATGGCTAAACTTAGAAACAGCAAAAGTTATCAACGTTTTTATAAAGACTTAGAATTGTCTGGAAAAAAATAAATGTCTTCAAATTTTGAGCTTTGCTTTATATGAGAGTAGGGGAGCTAGAGGCTTGTCGTAACATTTTTTTTTAATTATTATACCTTAAAATTCGCTGGTACCCCGGTCAATTTAAACTTAAAATCAGGGTGAAGGTTACAATAATTCATAATGGGCTGTAACTTGGTTAAATTGCTTAAAATACAATTATAAAAGAAATCTCAAAAGTCCTCATCGTTCTGGTGCGAGGTAAAAAATTGACACAAGGTCAAAGATCAAAAATATGATTTTTTTGTGCTTTTCAGCTAAATGACCAGTTTTATCGTCAAAATTACTCGAGACAAAATTGTAGAGCATAAAATTATCTACAAAAAATGTATCAATGCTTTTTTTCCTTTTTTCCACCGTTTGAAAGATATATCACTTTGAAAAGTAAGATTAAACGCCACCTACGAGATAGTGTACTTGTTTTTTTACGTGGTTTATCCAGTAGGCCTATTACACAAGCCTATTATGATTTTGAACTATTGCAAAATAATATTTGTGAATTTGGATTTGTGAAAAAATGGCTGTAACTCTAAATAAAGCAGCTAAATATATTCGCCGTAGTAATAATTTTCGAATGTTTCTACTTCCTCTTTATAGTAAAAATAATTCTATAGCTATTATTCACTATTTCAGAATTGATGCTTTTTAGAAAAATTGCGGTGTTACAACTTAACCAGCGTTTGGGGCTAGTTGTAACATCTACCGGGGCAAAAAGTGACGACAGAAAAAAAGAAAATAATATCTCTGAAAATTTATTCTTTACTTATTTTTAAGAAATTTAACTTGTTTCTAAATAAGTCTTTTCATGAATCAACGCCTCCATAATCAATACAAATAAAATATATATTGTCTCCTATAACTATGATATAAAGTTTTATCATAAAACAACGTAAACTACAATTATTATCGTAATACACATAGAAGATATAGTGTCTTCTGTAACACAATTTACATGTGCCCACATCTTACAAACCATAAATTCCAACAGATCTTCACTTGAATCAGTATATAATATTCTTGTATGTTACAACTAGCCCCAAGGTTTTGTTTCAACTAACCCCAGGTGCGATTTTTTTAAAATTAATCTTGATAACTATTTAAACAAATTACCAATTACAAAAATTGTTACACATTGTCTCAAAGATTGATAAATTTGGAACGAAATTAGATACAAAAAATTTAAACTTAGTCGATAATAGTAAGGTAAACCGAAATTGTATGATAGATCAATTTTGTACTTTTAAAAATGACGCATCTGCACAATTCTGTTTACTTCATCGGTCTGCGGGGTAGTACCTATGACAATATTACGCAGAACGGTTTACATGTCCAATCGAGACAACAGAACATTTTCAGATCTTTCAAGAAAAACGCCTGTTTCTATTTACCCCTGTTACAGATAGACCCCAGCTCCCCTAGTATATAAATAAATTAATTAATCTTTTTTTTTCTTCTTTCAGATGTAGCAACCGGTGGAAGCATGGACTGGGTAAAGGGTAACTACAAAACCCCAATCACTTTTACTTATGAATTGAGGGATACCGGCCGCTATGGGTTCTTATTGCCCCCAGAGCAAATTATCCCTTGTGCCCAAGAGGTTTTGGACTCATTGGTCGCCATCTTCGAAGCTGCCGCTGATTTGGGATACTTTAACTTATAATTTATGACACGTTAACCAATCTCAACTTTAAGAATTTTTTGTTAATAAAAATGTCTTTAATGTTATTACTTATATTATTTTTTATATAAATTAAATTATAATTATGTTACTCATGTTATAAAATTTGTTGTTTTTTTATAAATAATAAAACATATTTGTATCACAAATTTGTAGCACAAATGATTACAGCTAAAAGTGATATGTTTTTAAATAACCTATAAAAAATTAATTGGTTTGAAACATAAAAATGCCAATAAATAAGAGTATTTATATAAAACAATCACTCCATTTCATTGAAGAGTTTATGATTTCGAATTAGTAATTTATTAGAATTGATAGATACAAAATATTTTGATAAAAATTAAGTGCACAAACAACATTCTTAGAACATACTTGAGCAATATTCTTAGAACTTTAGCAATCGATGTTCATATAAACAGGAACACTCCACTTTTTATGGAGTAAGCTGGAAAATAATTATCAATGACACATGACGCTCATATTCAAAAAATTGATTTATGACACATTCAACCCCAGAACAGAAGTCCTGTATAGTTTGATACTACATTACGAATGTTAAGGCGCGAAGCTTAAATTTTACTTCGACGTCTAACAGGGTGTTGTCGATTTAATTATCTAAACACTTCACTTTTAAATTTGTTCTATTGTATAATAGAACTCTTGGTGTGATCTGTGATTATTCAAATAAAATGCGACGTTTGATAATTAATATATATTATAAGAAAATATGGTGAATATAATGGCAACAGATAGTTGATGTTTCTATACTGCGCTCTAAACTTATACTGACTAAAAATTATTAAAAATTTAAATTAACAATATTAGCCCCGCCCGTAAGAGGCGGGTTGCATTAATTTATACATCTAAGGGGGATGATTTCTTAGACTTAATAGATGATTCCTTGAAATTATCTCCAGGCATTTTGCAGACTAATAAATAAAAGTATCGGACGCCAATATAGACAGTCCAGACATATAAATTAAGCTCAAAAATTAAAATATCTTATATTACTAATGCATTTGTACTTGAAAGTGTGAAAGACATGCAGACGACGGTCCGCCTGGCCTGGCGACTGTCCATCGTATCGGAATACGAGACGATGCGACCCTTACAAAAAAAAAAAACAGTTCAGGTTACCTCCATTGGGAATACTTAACATGGCGGCCACCTTGAAATAATCTTAATATTATTTCGAAATATTTAAATTTACATCAAAATCTTACATTCAAATCGAGTTAGTCTAATACATCATATAACAAAGTTTACAATATAATTAATAATTCATATAGACATTAAATAGACACTGCATCTAAGTCTTTGCTTTACATTTAAATCCTGTGTTCGACTAGCGAAAAGAACTAGTAAGGAATAATAACATCATTATTAAATAATTACAGTATTCCACATTTATGAAATAAGATGTTAAAATTGAATGTATTCAATTCATAATCACTACACGATTTTGTTCTCATTGTCAATTGGTAATACACAGTCACAACACGAATTTTCCCATCCTCAACTGGATGTATTTCGACAATGCTGCCTACACGCCAATTTAAAGGAGGAAAATTATCTTCGCGAAGTAGAAGCATAGATCCCACCTTTACTGATTGATCTGCACAGCCCGTGCATTTTCTTCGATCCTGTAGCTCCGATGCACGCTGTTTATGCCAGCGTTTCCAAAAACGTTGCATCAAACGCTGAAGGTGCTGGTAGAGCCTATTCTCCGGAACGTCAAGCACGTTTAGGTCGGGAATGGTTATAATGGGTTTGTCAAATAGGAAGTGACCAGAGGACAAATGATTAAAATCAATAGGATCGGAGCAAAATGAGGAATTTGACATAATTTCGGTTTGTGACAAATATGTAAAAAATCCTTTAAATATATAAAATGCATTTTCAAAAAATCGAATGGAATGCTTCAAATGCGGAATGCATTTTACATTACAAATAGCACCAAAATGTGGTGATTTGATGAGAACGAAATGCCAATTAATTCCGTAATGTATAATTAAGTAAATTTTCATAAACTTCTTGAAGTTACGTTTGCATAAAATATTGGATGGTGTTTTAATTTCTGACGACGCTCCAATAAATTTTGTGCCGTTGTTATCTGAATTAATGCTAGTAGGTTTTTCTGACGCATAATAAGTCGTCTGAGCATAGCTAAAACCTTCTAACATAAAATTTGATACAATTTTTAACTGAATAGCGCGCGTACTAAAATGAATAAATCGGGATATGTATGCTCTGATTTTTCTAAAGCCTTTAGTACGACGATCTCTCAAAATAATCGGACTTCGGAAGTCCAACCCGCGACTCGCGAACGACAACAGCAAAGTCATGCGGTTTTTCAGTAAATTTTTCATTAACGGAAAGAGGAAAGGATTGACCACGAAGCATGTGAAACAGTTTCGTGTCACCCTTTTACATAAATTTGTATCGCCAATGCGCAAAATGCCATTTTCGGAATGCCTTTTTAATTCTGATTTAGTTTTTATTGGTCTGTGCTTTAAGTTGTTAGACCTTTCAAAACTACTATTAGAAACCGAATTCATTGCAAAATTGCAAATAGTTTCATTAGACGAGTGATGCGATTGGATTGTGCTTGAAATTATCCAACCCAATGCAGTGTTTTGCAAAATCGTGTTAGTTTTGCTCAATTTAATAAAACCCTTTCGTAACAAACTCCAAAATAAACCCGCTCCCAATAACATATCTATCCTACCGCTGATATTATAATTTGGATCAGCTAATTTTATTTCGGGAGGAATTTTAAAATGGTTTGATGAGAACGAAATCGCGGGTATATTACTTGCGATTGAATCTAAAATTAAACACGATATATTGCATGAATATGAGCTTATATTCGATTTTATCTTAACTTCGATTTTGCTATTAATTTTTGATAAAGACTGACTTATACCTGAAACGGACATATTTAACTTCTCCGTTTTTAAGGCAAGTTTCTTTGAAAATTCCTGTGTTATAAAATTTGACTGTGAACCGTTGTCCAACAAGATTCTAGCAGGAACCCATGCGTTGTTTTTATTTAATACCGAAATGACCGCTGTTGAAAGTAAAACCTGTGATAAATTTACATTACTAACAAATGATGTGCTAGGTATAGATTCAATCAACGGATTTGCTAGCTCTTCACAATGCAATAGTGTATTATGTTTTTCATGGCAAACCACGCAACGAATTAAAACTGAACAATTATCTATTTGATGGTTTGTATTCAAGCAATTTGTACAGATTTTTAACTGCTGTACTTGCGATATTCTTTCATTCGCTTTTAATTTTCTAAATTCTTCACATTTAAATAATGGATGACTTTTTTTACATAATACACATTGCAATGCGTTTGAGATCGCATAGGATCTGGTAACTTTATCGCTTTTTAATGAAACTTGTTTATGCGATTCGATAGTTGGTAGCTTTTCATAATAAAGCGATTCAAATACCTGGCACCTATAATCCAGGAACTTTACTAGATCAGAAAATTTTGAAATGTCTGAACCTTTATTGTTGGATAGCTCCCATTCGCGACGAGTTGCTGAATCCACCTTCGTTAATATTAAATACATAATTAATGAGTCCCAATTATTGACAGGCTCACCTAACGCTTCTAGACAACGTAAATTTTTATTGAAGCTATCCACTAAAATTCTTAACATTTTAAAATCTTCTGTCTTTATTTCAGAATGATTAAATAAACTTCTAATGTGGTTATTTATTATTATTTTTTTATTTTCAAACCTATCTCTAAGCAATCCCCAAGCAATCTCATAATTTGCTGACGATGACGGCAGTGAATGTATAACGCTTGCAGCTTCATTTTTTAAGCAAGTTTTTAAATAATAGAATTTTTCGGCATTGCTTAGATTGGTATTATTATGAATTAATGCCGTGAACGAATCATTAAACTGTAACCAATTACTATAGGAACCGTCAAATGTTGGTAATGCGATATTCGGAAGTTTTATATTATTGTTGAAACTTTGACTTTGTTCGCTTCTAATATTATTATTACTTAAATCGGTTTGAGGTATTTTATTTTTTACTTGATTGAAATTATCTGTTAATCGTTTGATGTCATTCAAGACACTAATTAAATCAATGTCGTATAATTTAGTTATTTCCTCCTCGTCGTCTAAGACATTTGCTAAATTATTAATAACATTTACGTAATTTTCCTCCAAAATGTTCAACTTATTTAAGTATTCTTCTATATCCCTAACATTTAAATCAGACAACGTCCTATTTATTAACTTGTTACATGCATTATCTAACACCATGAACTGCGCTTTTAATCCGCGTTTCTTATTTGTTAATGATTTTACCGATTCCATTTTTTATCATAGACAAAAACTATCAACAAAGGATAATGAAAGGGTATTTAAAGGAAGTACCTGAATTATGCAAGTAGTGCAACCCTCGAACTTGTTTTCTGCCTGTGTATGTTTATCAGCTGGTACGGTTCCTTTGTTTGTATTCACGACGTTTTTACGAATTTTATAATAATTATGTGTTAACTGTATTTAATTTCACTATTTGTTAACATATATTTAATCTGATTATTTGATTTATTTATTTTAATAATTTTATTTATTGTTATTATTGAATTTAATAACATGAATTTTTGTTTTTCTTTAATTTGATAATTTGATTTATTATGTTATTTTATTTAATAACTTGAATTTTATTTATTTATTTGTAATATTATTAAATTTAATCACTTTCATTCTATTAATTTGATCTTAATTTAATAATTATTCACTTCAATTTAATAATTTGATATATGATTTTATTTAATTTAATCACTTGAATTATTAAATCACTAATTATTATTTTAGCGGACTGTATGTTGCTGGTTAATTAATTTGCTTGAACGTCCAAAAGATCACTTAAAATTATTAAATTTGTGTCCTTTGGAAAGTTATAAAAGTCCAAATGATAAATATTCGGCTCGTTTGGACCAAATGTTAAGGCGCGAAGCTTAAATTTTACTTCGACGTCTAACAGGGTGTTGTCGATTTAATTATCTAAACACTTCACTTTTAAATTTGTTCTATTGTATAATAGAACTCTTGGTGTGATCTGTGATTATTCAAATAAAATGCGACGTTTGATAATTAATATATATTATAAGAAAATATGGTGAATATAATGGCAACAGATAGTTGATGTTTCTATACTGCGCTCTAAACTTATACTGACTAAAAATTATTAAAAATTTAAATTAACAATATTAGCCCCGCCCGTAAGAGGCGGGTTGCATTAATTTATACATCTAAGGGGGATGATTTCTTAGACTTAATAGATGATTCCTTGAAATTATCTCCAGGCATTTTGCAGACTAATAAATAAAAGTATCGGACGCCAATATAGACAGTCCAGACATATAAATTAAGCTCAAAAATTAAAATATCTTATATTACTAATGCATTTGTACTTGAAAGTGTGAAAGACATGCAGACGACGGTCCGCCTGGCCTGGCGACTGTCCATCGTATCGGAATACGAGACGATGCGACCCTTACAAAAAAAAAACAGTTCAGGTTACCTCCATTGGGAATACTTAACAACGAATTTGATACAAAATTAAGAGTGTTAAATCATAAACATCATAACAAAACGATTACAGCTCGAAATTTTTTTTTCAAAAAAAATACTGGCTATTGGGTCGGAAAAGTTAGAAGAAAGCCTAAATTATCAACTTACAACAAGATTATGGTCTATAAAGTAGTCTTGAAGCCATTTTTTTTTTATTTGCATAGTTTTATTGTCAATCAAAATAATATACATTTTTAAGACAATATGCTATTGATGTTAATGCATTTAAGAGATTATCTCCTATGAGATATCTCTCTTTTTTTATTTTTGACATTTTATTTAAGATCGTATGGCCATTTTTTTTCAATCTTCGTGTGGGATATTTCTCGCTTAACTCTTTTAAATATATGTTTGGGTGACCTGTTAGTTTTTCGCGGTATTTTTTGCTCCTTTCTTTTATCATTTCATTAAAACTTTTTATTTTTAGGTCTTTATGTAGGGTGTCATTTGTAACATACCAGGGTGCGTTCACAATGCATCTTAAAATTTTCGGTTGCGCTACTTGTATTTTTTTATATTTGAATGGCTTGCGCACGCCCATAGCTCAATGCCGTATGTCCAGATTGGGATAATCATTGTTTTATATAAAAGGAGTTTGTTTTCATAGCACATATTTGAACTCCTGGCAATTAGTCAATACAACTGAAGCCAATTTGAACATAGAATATCGCTTACACATAAGTAACAAAATAAAATCTCAATAAAATATTAGAAGCGCCCAATTAAATTCCAAATTGACTCATCCACCAAGACTCCAATTTGTATAGAGTGACAGAAAATACCAGAAGATTTGTATGTAAGTACAAGATTAGATTGAATAATCATCTAAATCAACTTGCAAAAAACCTGCTTTAATTCAATATCTTCAAAAAGAAGACTTAAAAGAACAAATCCTTCTGATTTAGCGAGTTAACATGTGATTTTTTTGTATTTTCATCTCATCACTCTTCAAACTTAAAATATCTACCACTGGTACCATTTATAATTTTATCTCTACAAAATCATTATACAAAAGAGTATAATATACCTGAGCGAATTTAATTGGTAAATCCATATCAAAAAATTAAATAAAACCAAAGTTTATCTCGTGCCATGAACTATTCAAAATTTTCATTAAAAGTTCAAATTAGTCCTTACTCATAACTGATCTTACAACACTCAATTATGAAGTGGTTTATAAGAGTAAAGTAAACATAATCTAAATATTTCATTATCCAAAATTTATTTATTTATCGCAGAAAATTTATAACTTCTGGCTAATTTAATAATTCCTGATTTTTTTTAAAAAAAAGTACTATTGAATTCTTTCTAACTTGTCTTTCAATCATTATTTACTAAAGAACACTATTTTTAGAACTTTTAATTTCCAAAAAGATTTTAATTACTCTTTATTATAACTATTTATTATTTGATGGAAATGAAAAAAAAAAGAAATAAATATCGATAAAAAAGTGCTTTATAAATACTTCTTCATCAACAATTAATAATTAACACACGTGAAGATCACATTTTATCGCAAGGGAAGAAACTACTTGAGAAAAAATACAGTAATGTATATTATTCAGTAACATTTAATCTCAGGAAAAGATAATATTTTAGATTAGATAATAGCAATAAATTATCGAAATCAAAGTATAAATATAGATGAAATCAATAGATGCTTAATAATTGCAATTAAGAAACAGTTAAGAGTTCGAAGCCATGAAAGTATTAATTGTTTTAGCGGCATTTGCCGTTACTCTCGTTTTGAGCGAAAAGGTTTCTTATGACAATTATAAAGTTTATAGAGTGTTTCCAAATACAATTGAGCAAGTAAATTTTCTACGTCATTTAGAGCAAACTGATACACAGGTAAATATAAAAATTAATTATATAAAAAATGCTATGACCAAAATGGATCTTTGAATATCTCCGTTAATCGTTTTTCTCTAATATTATACTAGAGTAAAAGATAATTTTTGAACTTATGCATATAATGAACTTTTTTATTTTGATCCACTTTTTCCTGGAACTCCTTGTATGGTAAAAATTTCATTGATAGAATTTGATATATTTGAAATTATTTTCCTTGCAAATCAACTTTACTCTATATATAAAAAATAACAATAATACAATTCTAAATTTTAAAGTTGTTATCATGTTTAGTATGTTCTTAAATAAATTAGATTGATAAATTAGATTGATGTTTATATATATTCTAAATTTTACTATATGTTTATGAATACCAATACAAAAAGATTTTGGACGTATTATCTTATTTATTAATTAATTTATATAATTGCATCTGCCAAACATTATATTGTATCTTATATTGTTTTGATTTCTGGCACATCTCAGCTGGGTTTTGACAATAATATTGGAGTATTTTTCTAATTCATAATCATGAATATGGATATTATATACTAATATTGTCTAGGCTCGCTTAAACTAAATTCAAATTTCAAGTAGGTTGACATTTTTGGCAGATGATCATGTATCAAAATGTTTTCAATGTCAAACAATGATAGGTTGCTTTTTGCAATTTTTTCCATTTATTTCTACATTATATTGAAAATTTTTCTCGACAAACTCTAAAAAATTTTATTAAAATCCGAATAACCGTTTAAAGGGAGTATCAATTCATACATATAAGATATATATTATATGATTATGTCACTACCGTAATCAAATATTTGCAATAATAGCTTATCATTTTGAAAATATTCCACTATCGTTTTGTAGTAAAAAATACATTTGATAAATAGAGATAGATTGATAAACGCCCTTCAAAAACTTTGTTATTATTTTTGTTTCATGTTATCTTATTTGTTTAATAACATTCATATGAGATTCTCTTGTAATAAAATATTAAATATAACAAAAATAAAGTAATATTTATTTATTTATTAGTTAGATTTCTGGACATACGTAAAAAATAATGGCCAACATGTGGATATTATGGTGCCACCGCAAAAAATTGGCGAATTTGAAAAGCAACTGGATTTCCAAAAAATACATTTCCAAATAAATATTAATGACGTTCAGAAGTGAGTACTAATTTTAAATCCTAAATGTTATTTACGAATGAAAAAACCTAGAATAAAAATAAAAAAACAAACTCAAATTTTGAAATAGATATGTCGTTCAATTTAAATTAATCTAGGATCCAAATTTCCGATTTCAGACATAAGCATTATAATTTAGACAAGATACGTTTAATTTTTTTTATCAACGGTGATAATAAACATTCTTATAATTAATATAAATGTAATAACAACCATGCACTTCGACAGATTTATTGCAGACTTCTAAAGTTGTTTTCTGTTAACAAATAATTAGTAAAAGAATGATAGATTATTCAAATGCTCTTTTATGTTTTGTTGCATTTTTTTAAACTTTTTAACCAACTGGGCAAACAAATATTTTAGGTCTCTCTTTTTTCAGATTTGATTTTTTTTCCTTTTTTATTTAAAAACACGACTCTATAGTAAACTCAACTATAGTTGGGTTCCAGTAAACTAAATTTAGTTTAAATTTAATTTTTCAAAAAAAAAAAAAAATAGATGTAAGGGATCATATTTGACCAACAAGAAAATAGTTTTTCTAACCTGATGCTTTATTTATAATGCGGACAAGACAATTAAGCTCTTAAATTATTCTAAAGACTGAAGATATGACATACTATTTTTGTAGTTTAATTGACTACAGAAATAATATTTATAGAGCTCCTTAGTAACATTCAAAATTTCCGAGCAATTTAAGAACAATTTAGTAAATTTCAACGAATCCTTACTTGCAGTATCAGTATCCAACTTTAGTGTATTTGCAGTTTTACTAAACATTATTGTTTAATAAATAGTAATGAATCATCAGTTGAAGTATCAGTATCCTATTTTGGTGTACTTTGCAATTTTAGTTTTTGAAAAATATTTTTTTTTCATGATTATTAATAAATTATGGTCTACAAAATTAGTAATAAACAAGATTAAAAAATACTACTTTTTTCATCAGACTTCTTGATAAAGTCGATGTTGGTACGAGAAGAGACAAAACTTATGGCTGGGATACTTTTTATAACGTAGAGGAGGTAGGTATCAAAAAAAATTCTTTGAAATAAAATTGTATTCATATTAATTATTCAAATTAATATTCAATTTTTACAGACTTATGCGTGGCTCAGAAGTTTGGCTACATCACACGCTGATAAAGCAAAAGTTTTCAGTATTGGAAAATCATACGAAAGGCGCGACATCTTGGCAATTAAGGTATGGATATTATTGATAACATCTTTGATCTGAGAAATTACTCAACTTGGTATGATATTCTTATCTGAATATATTTTCATGTATTTAGTGATAATTTTTTTCCAGATTTCGACTGGAGGTACTAAGAAGGCGGTTTTGTTAGATGGTGGCATCCATGCTCGAGAGTGGAGTAGCGTTTCAACTGCAACATATTTAATAAATGAACTTTTGAATTCGCAAGATCCCCAAATTCAAAATCTAGCAAATTCTTACGATTGGTACATTATTCCTATTCTTAATCCAGATGGATACGAATACAGCCACACCACGGTAAGACATAAAAAATAAATTAAAAAATTAGAATAATTATCATTGAATTGATAAAATTTGGACAGAAAAGAAATATTATTTGTTACGTTAAAGTCAGACAAATGAATCATTAATAAGTGTTATTAAAGTTGAATATTTAATTTTCACCCATTCAGGAAAGATTTTGGAGAAAAACTCGTCAACCATACGGAGAATGCTTTGGAGCTGATCCAAATAGAAACTATGATTATGAATGGCTTGGTAAGTTTACAACCAACCAAATAAAGTTATCTTTTTGAAAAATAAATTTTTCTATATGTATGTGTGTATACGTTCATTTTCAACTTTAATATTATATAGTGTAATTAAATTTTAGGAACTGGACAATCAGCTGAACCTTGTTTAATGCAATATGCAGGACCAAAACCATTTTCGGAACCAGAAACCCAGGCCCACGCCGATTTCGCAAGATCTATTGGGAAAAACTTAAAAGTTTATCTTACATTGCATTCTTATGGACAAGTTTTGATGTATCCATATGCATACACCTGGAAAGATGCCGAGAATGTAAAAGATTACGTGAGTAGTTCATGTATTTCCTCAAAATAATTTTCGTTTAAAATATCTATATAAAATGTAATATCAAATATGATTAAAGATTAAAGCTGTCATTTTTTCTAGAGATATTATAAGCAATTTTTATAAAACTACTACCATACAAACAATTTTTCTTATTACCAGGAACTTATTTCTGACGCAGCAGTAAAAGCTCTATCTAAACGATTTGGCACAGAATACAAACATGGTTCAATTTTCTCCACTATGAGTGAGCTTACAAAAATTTATTATAATAATATTATATTATAACTATATATAAAATATTCTTCTTTATAATTTTATTACTCTATTATATAAAATATTTTCAACTTTTGCAGTTTAAAAAATTGAATCAATTATTTTTTAGGTGCCGCTTTTGGAAGCAGCATCGACTGGATGTTTGGAGATCAAAATGTTCCACTAACTTTCGTATATGAGTTAAGAGACAGAGATGATTTAGACCCCAAAGAAATTATTCCATGTGCCCAAGAAATTATAGATTCATTAATTTCCTTATTCCAGACCGCCAGTGATCTAGGATATTTTAAAAATTAACACTGACATTATATTAATGTAAATTATAATTTTATTTTTACTGTTATAAAAATGTAGTAATATATCAATATGTAAATTAAATTTTCATTGCTATTAGTTGTCCTCCACATTTTATTACAGTAACTCATACCTCACCTAAGATACAATTTTTTACCTACTACTTACTACTCGTTATAACTCATTGTTAGGTGTGGAAAACCTGTAAAAGATGTCTTAAATTAATTAAATGTATATATTTTCAATGCCTTTGATTTATAATTGAATTTAATAACGTTGAAGTAATCAACGGTTTTAACTTGAAATATGAACCTTTAACATTATCGAATTTCGCGAGCCCAAAACAAATAGATGCAAAAAAAAAATTGCAATAGAAGACTTAAATAAAAATTAAGTCTTTAAAGTTAGGTTATATATATTTTTATGCAAAATTAAATAAAATATTTATCGGAATATAGATATAAAGTCGATAAAAAAATTTCTTAATGAAACAAATCAAAATAACGTGTAACTTACACTTACAAATTAAATAAAAATCTTTAGCAATTAAACGAAGTAAAATTAGAGGAGTGATATTTATATTAGTTACTAAAAGTCCATAAAAACGTCACAACTTACAAAATTGTAATTTTATAGATTTTATATGTCACAATGTATAAAAAGTGTACAGGTGTACAGAATCTAATTTTTTTTTGCTAAAGTCTGACAATTTATAAAGAAAAAAATTAGAATAAAATGCAAAATTTTTTATCCATGTTTTCTCTACAAAACCTGAAACGATTTTGAAAATTTGATCAATTGACTTTGAGCAATTATATTTTAAAAACCAAACCTAATATATTACAAATAATAACACATTTTGGACGAAAAATTATCTGACTATGTTTGGTAAAGCTCCCAGCTAATTCACCATTGTAGAAATGTGTTTTTTGTGGTTTTTCAAAAAAATTTCATCTGCTCTTTTTCACCCCATAAATGGGGTAATATAGGACAGTCAGGGGACAAATAATACCAATGTCTTATTTGTGATTTTAAGGGATTTTACGAAATAATAACTAAATTATTCAATCAATGCAAAATATAAATTTCATGGATACAATTTTAACAAAGATTATGCTGTAAATAACCTTGATCTGGTATTCCGTCAAAAATATTCATCAGTGGGGTTGGAATAACTATTTATTCGATTTACTATAATAGCCTTTTTAACTCAAATTACTTTTTATTTACTAAATTGTATTGTTTATTCACCTTTGCCAGAGTAAAGGTTCAGTTGGTCCTTTTTAACCCACTCACGAGTAAGTTTTTTTAGGGGATATATAAAGAGAAGATAAATTTAACTTAAAAATAACAATACATCTAATAAAAAAAATTAAATTAAAGACTTAAAAATAATATAAAGGTCTTGTAAACTAAAGAACAGTCCTCACAGCCAAACAAATTAACAATGAAAGAAAATACTTTTGTTATGAATTTTCAAACATTTTCTTTTATCTCCCGATAGCAAAGTCGTAATAATCAAGGTGGTGGCTGGTTATACATCCTTTTCCCTCTACTTTCAAATATTTTTATTTAAAAAATTCTTTAATTTGTTTTTGAGATATCGGTGATAAACTTTTTTCACCTGTGGACCTTTAAACCCCGCTCTAGCATATGACTTGAAAGTCGCATCGATTACTTTTTAGTGAAAAGCAAAAATTTTTTTCTAAAAATAACCATTTAAAAATTAACTCGATTATTTACACATATCGGAAAGTTCATGCTACTTGCCTTAAGGAAAATGCCACTTACAAATACTTTATGGTATTTTATGTTTTTAAATAAAATACTCTGAATTTTTATTGTGTATATGAAACTTTTAGAATAAAACCTAATAATAAAATACAATTGAATATTAAAAAGATAAATTCTCAGATATGTTCGACCACAATTATTTACATAAATCTCTAACAATATGTGTCATTTATCACTTGCTTCTCATGATAGAAATCAATCAATTACAATAAGTGCATAATCGTTATATATTAATTTATATTTTCCCATCAATTATCTCGATATAAATCGCGAATGGCATCATCAATCGCACCAGTTTGCACTGATTGAAGTAGGTATCGCAAGTATGTAATTACGTATCAATTTATATTGTTTTTCCACAATAGATGATAACCTCAAGATGTTGATATCCTTTAGTACCTATTTACTATAATAAAATGACCCTGTGCAAAGTGTCGTTGTTAATAATATTGAATCACAATGCTATTCTCACGATTATAGTTTAAAAATCTGGGTCAGAACATAAGAAATATATGTTTAATATGTTACCGGCAACACATATTTTGCATATACACGGCTATTAGAATTAATGACATCTTGTGATAGCAATTTGCACATTTTTATAAAAAAAAATAATTAAACTTGTAAAGTACATGAACACTAAATAAAAAATTTAATATTTGCGTTGTGTAAAATTTAGTAAATTTATAATAGTACAAGTCGAAATACGAATGCTGAAGAATCCTGTAAGATTGGTATAGAAAGTTTAAATTAAATTATGAAGAATTAAAAATATGGTTATGGTATACCAAATAGACTAAATTCGTGAAAAGTGTGAATGCATAAAATAATACCTATAAGGTATTATAGTACCTATAATTATATATTAACACGTTAATCGCCATGTCAGTCAAATGTGTGTGACGTTAAGAAGTTCTACATGGGCCATGTCAAACATATGCGATTTGGTAGAAAGAGAAAAAATTCAGTCATATACGTGTGACACAAAAAATAGTGTTTTTCCATGAACATTGTCAAAAAAAATTTGTTTTGATACATTAAGTTTACTTTACATTTTTAACTAAATTATAGATTATATAGATTAAAGTTACCATGGCTCATGTGAAAAATTTTCTGATATTATCGTGGCGATTAACGTGTTAAACAAATACGTATATATTAAAACTAGTTTTTTTGTATAGCAAAGAAAATGCCTTTATGCATTCCAGACTATTAAAACTAGGAGTGAGTGGAATTTTGAATGTTGCAAGAACTTTTAGATGTGTAAATAGTGGATTTAATTGATGAGGTTCATATATAAATGTATATGAAAAACCAAGATGTTGTAGGACCTTATAATATTTCAAAGTTTTGCAGTCTATTCAATTTTGTGCAAACATGCTAATTATTGTACAATCACGCTAGTTATTTTTCAAAAATAGTTTAAGTCTTATTCATTACTGAAATGTACACCAGTTCAAGGGGTTGGAGGTTCTCGGAGGCGCGAAAAAATGAGAATTTTCAGTTTTTTTGTTATTCAATCATGTTTTTACACAAAAATAGTAATATAGCAAATTACTAGATACTATTATGGGCATTTACTCTGTATCTCTTAAGAAAGCAACGCATTATTCATAATTTTAATATATTATTTTAATACTCAAATCACTTTTCACAGGCTTATACCAATTCAAGGTGTTCTATAAGACCCTGAATTCTTATCAAATAACTAACTCTAAGTTACTAAAAATAAGCCTCAATAAAATTATGAGAAAAAATTAACAATTACATACAAAGAAACGGCCAGGTCGATTTTTACCAAACACCAATCTGCACGATTAATTTAGATTTATTAATTAGATTCCCAAATGCTATCTTTTGAGAAGTTTTCAATATTCAAAATCGGTACAGAATTTCTTACAAAATTTTGCATTTTATAAAAATTAGGTGCATACAGAGATATATCACACTATTCAAATATTTATTTTATTTATTCATACGGAGGCCCTAGTTTAGTGATTGCCAATCTTTTTGCACCGCACCCCCCTGCTCTAATAAAAAAAATTGTTGCGTCTCCCTTATTTTTTCAACATTTTAATTTTATAAATACTCAGCTGATATTATCTATCAGATAATATGCAATATCATGTAAAAATATGCATATTTTTTGTTTATTTTTTATTGTCATTTCAAAAATGTTGGGTTATTTTCGACAATAGTATTCTGGAAACAGATGTTCGTGCCCACCTTAGATCAGCCTGGTGCCCTCCTAAGAGAACGCGCCCCACAGGTTGGAAAACGCTGCCCTAGTTAATATTAATAAATAACGTATAAATATTAATAATATGAATAATAATATAAATATAATAGTAATCAATATCTTTCTCTTTTTCTTATCAGGATTATTAATATATTATATTTGATTGCGTCAGAATTTTTTTTGCAAATAAATTACTAAATATATATACATAAGACTTGAAACAAATATAAATATAATGTTTCTTTAAAAAAATAAGATATTGAAATAAAATTGTTTATACAGATATTTTTTTTCAAAAATAAAAAATATCTGTTTCCGCCCGGGATCGAACCGGGGGCCTTCCGCGTGTTAGGCGGATGTGATAACCACTACACCACGGAAACTACATTAAATGACACCTTATATGCACTTGTAACCCGTATGATGCATTTGAGTAACCTGATTCTAGAATTCAAATGCATCTAATCAAATTGATAAGGAGATTAAATTAGTGAATACTTTAATTAGGATAAATACATATATATTTTATTTTTAAATTTCAAATTGGATTTTTATTTGTTCCAATACCACTCAGAGACAAAGTGATAAAATGTTGTATTTAAGAACTTAATTTTTTTAAATTCATTTATTTTGATATCTAATGGAAATAATGAGCAGAAATGGTTAACAATATATGAAAAGTACGGTACAATATTTTGATTAGATATTCATAGATACGCCGAGTGGTAAGGTAAGAACTTAAATATAAATAAATATATTTTTTATGATCGATTTTTTATTTAATTCGAATATTCGATTAAATCAGTTTATGAAATTTATAAGATGTAATTACAAAAATTGATTGAATTTTTAGTATACATTAGGCTGGTAAGTAAGTAAGTGCAATTTTCACTCTTACATTTGGATGGTTTAAAAATTGAATTATTAGGCTTGCTGACCTAGTACAAGTGTACTAATACCTTTTGTTAATGGTTAGTAGGCAACT